TTTTAAACCCTCATCATTGGCGATATCGCCAGCTTCTGTTTTGTACCTAGCAATTTGTTCTATGATCGAATCATTGGCTTCACCAGCAAACTTGGTAAATTTAGGTACCTTATATCCCCTGGGTAATTTTGCTTGTCGAACGTAATCAGACAAGGGCGAAGAGTAATTGGGCCTCCGAGGCTAACATTTACTCCAGACCGTGTTAATATTTCCTCTACCATATTCACTATGTTGTTACGCCCAACAGTGGCATTTCTTGGCACTTGATCAACATTTTGGTTTCTCATAACTACGACTGGCCTAGGTTCGTATTGTTCAACGAATTCGTCCTTTTCATAAATGGGTGTTTTCACTCTTTAAGGTCTAAAAGGATGCTCATTGTTGCCCCCTTCAGTTCTTTAAAAACTCTCAACGGTTTGTGGCGCATTTGAGTTGGTTGGACCCCTAATGAGTCAATTAATCTACATTTTTGGTCAACTACATGGTTAAGGGCGACTCCCATTTGTTGAGTTAAGACGTTTATTAGCTCTAAATTACTCTCAAACATCTGTTGCCTTAAAGCTATAACGGAAGTAGTATTCAAAGATGGTGTCGAGTGCGGGACATAACGAACACCACCTGGTCGACCACTTGGGACATAACTGCCTTGGTGTCCAGTGGCCAATGTGTTTTCTGTATATGTGGACGGGTTTGACTGTAACCCAACCATCATGGAATAAGGCATACCATATTGGTAAGGGACAAATGATAACCCTAAATCCCCTGGAAAGAGTGGTCGATTTGGGTCAAATGGTGATATCCCATGCCAAGGTTCTGTCATTGTGATTGTTGTCTCTGGACCATGAACAGTGGTCAATCTTACGGGAGATAAAATTGTCGCGCTTTGAGTTGTGGTACTTACTGGTATGACATCCACATTTTGTATAGAAATCTGCGTAAGTGTCGTGTTTGTGTCAGAGCGTGGCATTTTAGACTTGGACAAAAGTTTACCACTTCTCAAATTCATACACACACTAACTATAAGAAAATTTGTAAAACTACAAACAAAATACAAAATTATTAGCACTGTTCCACCAAGTGTGTCAATTTGTTTACCTCTAGATTTGGTAAACAACGCTGGTCTCTTAACATAAAATTTACTGGCGAGATCGACCATGGAATCTCAGTACAATGCTTCAGTTTTCGAGTGTTTTCACAAAGTATGTTAAAAAAGGTTCGTTCGACTAAGGCGAAACGAATTTAAAAGCAATAAAGCAAGAATTGTAAAATAAAACAAATACGCTTTAAACAGTAAAAATATATAACATAACATCAAAATAGTTGAAAATGGGTTGATTCAAACATACATCGCCCTTGCTTGACTCATTTCGCTCGTTTGCTTGGGTACTCTAAGTGACTAGCATGTAAGAATGTGAAAGTTTGAACCCCTTACACTATGCACTAAGTTCTTTATTTATAATACATGAAAATAACTACTTTTTAGCGGGCTTCGCTTCTTCATGAGCCACACGTCTCTTGTAACTACCCTCCATTAACCCACGTTCTCCATCCTTGCTATCGAACCCATGTTCTCCATTCCTGCTATCGAACTCACGTTCTTCATTCACAATGCTTTTCTTTGATAATTATGCACTCTTTTGGGATTTTTAACACTCCTGGGCCCAATCCATTCCTCATGAGGCCTCTTTTCTGGTCGTCTGCATCCACAAGCCCAAATTGGCCTTTTATGAAACCTCTTCCGGTCGACTGCTTCTGTGGTCGATTTCCTATAATTCAAAGTCTTCAAAGAATATTTTTTGCTTTTGGTTGGATTTTAACCCTTTGTGAAAATCCTAGCCAACACAAAGGCTCTATTATGAAGAAGGAATTGATCTTGGCGTAGTGCCTCATTCTCAGCGAAAGAAGAAACAAATTTATGCTTGTGCGATTATCTACGCGCCCGATCACTCTGAGAGGTAAGAACTCTTTGGTGAGAATTAGAATATAGGGCACACTTTTCTTAACAAGTGTAACTTGTATCAAGAAGATAACATGATTCAGTTGCAGAAGCTTCTCGTGCTTGCCAAGGACCAAGGTCTTACAACCGACTTATAGTTCAAATGGTGGAGACTTCTTGTGTTGCAACTACTCTTGCTCCAGTGGCTCAAACACCGATCATAATTATTGCCCCTACGAAAACTGTGACTACTATCCTGGGTATAACTCTTAAGGTGGAACAACGGACTACTACAATGGATAACCTCTCTATTCATTAGCTTCACCATTTCCTTCCCCTATAAAAAAGAATCGAGGTGACTGTCCATCCACTCCTGTTGAAGAAGGTTATTCTAAATGGGCTCGTTTGTTTGAGGATGCTAAGTTAGAGACTCTTACTCCTTTCTTCCGACCCATTTCCATTCTTCCCTCTCGGGTACCCAACACCTTAGAGGAATTTGTATATGTTGTGGCCAGTGAGAACCTAACTTTAGTCTAGAACCTATTTGCGGATGACATGCAGGGTCTTTTGCGGATGCTTCTCGCACCTTATTCGGGGTTGAATCTCTGGTTTCAAAGGTAGTTGTCATGTATGATGATGTATTAGGTTCTTGTGACCTTGTTAGGGAGTGAGATGAACTGAAGAAGAAGTGTGAGACCCTTGAGCGAGAGAATTCCAAGAATGAGAAGGAATTGGTTAAGTTGCGGAAAAAGGTTGGGCTTGCTGACTCTTTGTAGGAGAATGTGAAACAATATGGTTCTTTGTCGGCTTTAGCTTCTCAGATAGTAGAGTTGAAGGCTTCTCTTACAGAGGGAAAGAAACTTTGGAAAAGGCTTCTGAAGATGCAATAAAGGCATGTTGTGAGTTCTAAGCGGATCGAAAATATCTTCAGCAAAAGAAGGATGATTAGGCCAAAGTTCTGAAAGGTCTCAGGGAAGACCCAACTGTTGCACGAAGTAAATCTCAGGAGTCCCTTCAGTGGGCCATGGAATCTGTGAATCTGTGACTCTTTGCAGACGTTGAAGCAGGAGACCCAACAGTATATATAATTTGCATTTAGAAATTATATCAGTAGTTACAATTAAGCAATAAATGTACAAATACATTAGTTAAATTCTGCAGTCAGTCATTAGTAATATTGATCGCTCGCCCTTGGAACTGTTGTTTGAGTGGCTTAGCTATCGACTGATCTGAAGGACGGAGTCTTCAGCTTCAAAGATTGTCGCCCTTTGTTGGATGTGTCTGGGTTCTACCTCTCGTGGTTGAGGCGACACGATGTATTTGTGCTTCAAGCTATGTCGGGCGGTTATGCCCGGGGACGCCCGTGGTAAACAGACTACCTTTCTTTTAAATTTACACCCCAATCATGCTTATAGTACGTCCTTTGGAACAGTGTCGGGGCGCTGAGGACTTCGGGTGTTAATGGAGAGCCATGTGACCTTTGCTGACTCCATCAGATTTGATACACAGTCGACCATCTAATCTTCTAAGTTGCCTCACACTTTGAGATGCCAACCACCTCATAACTCCCTTATCATTTCATTGTGTCAGGCATCTTGTGATCATCCGAAACCAGGCTCTAATTGGTACGATGGTGAGACATCCAATATAGGCTCTTACGACGACGAGACATTTGGCATGGGTCGATAATGGTGGAATTCATGCAATGACATCTTTTAGATTCGATTTCATATGTCTTTGCCCAGACCCATTATTAATCCAAGCTCAAATTTAAGGAGATCTACCTAAGGACCGACTCAACAATTACAGACACAAAATGTTGCTCGGCGAAAGGTGAAATGGAACTCAATCGAGCCTAACTCTGCGAGTTGGAATATGAACTTGAGGGGATTTGTTAACAATCTTCGACACGGGTTAAAGATTAAGATTCACGACAATTGTTTATTGTTTTATTTTAATTGAGTTTTACAGTATTTTTTATTTATTTATTTAGTTTAATTAAATAAATGTGAGTAGAGTTATTTAACTTAGTGTGGATGTGAAGAATATTGTGGTTTAGTATAAATTGGAATTTAATTGTATTTTTAATAATTTAAATAATAGGAAAATAGGAGAAAATGAGTTTTGGAATTAGCAAGAGTTGAAGGGAATTTGTAGAATTAATTAAAACAGAAATAAAAATATGACTTTTATTTAAATAGAGAAGGGAAGGGAGAAGTTAGACATAAGTTCAAAGAATAAAATTAGCGCAATAAATGCTTTGGACAACTATGTTGAAATGTGAAAAAAGTTATAAAGGATGAGAGTGTTAGTTTTTTTTTAACAAAGCCAAGAATCAAATTAAAATTTGCACAAGATGTGCTAAAACCACCTATGTTTTGTGGACATGTTGAAGAAGCTTGAGAGCATCTCTGAATCCGTTTGGGGGCATGGTAAGGTTAATAAAAGAAACTGATTCAGATCTTAATGAGTAGTCCTAATTCCTTTGTATCTCTGTCTTTAATCATGTAGCTACTTATTTTCTTATTTTGATAGTCATTAAACTTGAGATTAGTCTTAAATTAACCAAAATCTATTTGAAATTATGAATCTAATTATATGGTTTCAATTTTATTTACTATAAGAAAGGCTTGTTAGTATTATTTCCTGATCATTTAAACACTTGTTCTTTAAGCAGATTTGACATGAGTGTTCTTCATCTGCAAGATGAGATTTTGATTTTTGAATTATCATCCAATGATCATATTTTAGTGGTAGGAAATAGGAATCACTCCCAAAGGCAATAGTCACATAAATCCATTTGGTTTAGCAGATGTTCCATTCCTGATAAACTACATATACATGTGCATGTCAGTGCTCGGCAAATGATATAACAGCACAAAATGCCAGTTTGAAACATATAGATATTTAACAACATAAGATAGCCTAGTTTGAAACATGATTTTTTTGTATTGGGGCATAGGTGTCATCAGCCACACTAGCCGTACAAATTACCAAAAAAATGTCGACACAAGAGAACAACTAACTGAGCTTCATCTCGAACTGCAAGATATTTAACCAGAATTCAACTCTCTTCTGACTCTGCATTGTCAGAATATATATATTAGAACTAGATAAACTTATAGTGTTTCAACTAGTGTGGAAGAACAGAAAAGCAAGTCAAAAGTAAAGCGTTGTGGTAGAAAGAAGTATCCCTTGTTCATTAACATGATGAAGAATGAAATAATTTTCATATTTCATCCCAAGCAGTTTTCTTAACCATACCTTGTATGGCTTCCATGTTATTGTCCTTGTAAGCACCTAGGGGTGATCCATGGACAGAGAGAAGCATCTCGCCAGGCTTGGGAAGTCTGAGTGTTTTGGGCGTCATCCCAACAGACATCCTCTGACTACTCACCTGCAAAACACAGAGAGCCATCACCATATTCAGTTGTTAACTTTTCAGATCAAGGCAAACTGAGACACCTTTTTAACCTCAACAGCAAATACCAAAGTTCATTTAAATAAGAATGCATGAAGGAGAGATACTTACTCCGGGAGTCTCAAGACCTTCTTGCATTGTTAAAGTTTGAGCTTCAGATAGTTCCTCCAAAACCTATACAATACATGTTGAATCACTAAAAGAAGCAAAAAAATTGGCTTTTAAATTTGTGGATAACTCGGAACATGTTACAAAAAAAGAATGGACGAGTACGAGTAATGTTTGTATCCTCATTTAATACTCTACAATGATTAATGCTAACTAGTGAAAGATTGAGCTCTTTAAGTTAGGATTTGTGATTTTGTAATCATACATATTAATATTATCTTATGTCACATTTCAGCCACGGGTGTGTAAATATGCTTTTATGATCCAAAGGTTTGTGAGTGTGGCAACAAAGTGAAGAGAACATACAAAATCCTTCAAATGCAGATTACCAGCACCAACAAAACTTGTTCTCCCTGTCAAGATAGAAATAATTGTGGTAAGATATAGAAAATACAGAGACATAGAAACTTAAATATATTTTTACTCCTATTTTTTGAAATTGGTACCTATCAATAATGTAACTATAGACACATACTCATCAGAATTAGATAACAACTTTTTAAGAACTAAAAACATATACACACATATTTATAAGTAAAACCATTGCTCCAATTTTTTACTGAGTAAGAAAACAATGCAATTAGAGTAAATGAATGAGAGTTGTTGGACATAGATCAACTTTCAATCTCTCTACACCAATAAGAAATCCTTGATTTGTTCTCAATCTTAATTCATTTGAATCTGTTTTTACACCAATATTCCAGGAATTCTTTTTTGCTCAAAGAAAGGATCGTAACAATGGGTCCAACACTGCCGCACTCCTTGCCATAGAAAAATGGGTGGCTGCATTGGAGCATTTAGTGACTGAGGACCGAAACGGAGAAGCATTAGATGAATAAACTGCAATATGCAGTTAATGAAATTAAGAAAATGTTGGAACAGATTCTGAAAAAGAAGAAACAACCAGTGTTGTTAAATCTGATATCAAGACATAGCCGCTATACCGGAAAAAGTGCCACTATATTGAGCGTAGCAGAGTCGAAATGCAGTACCGGCTTTTGTATCGGATAGCCAAAATTCCGATATGCAACACTGGTATATTGGCGCTATATCAGATATTTAACAACACATTAGACAGCTATGATTAAGTTGGGAATGGAAGGAATTTTAGAAGCCAAAATTACAAAGCATCAAGGAAATGGATGAATTGACGCAAAATGGCGAGAAAACAATGAACTTGGGAGCCATAAGGCATAGGTGAAAATGACATTTTGGAGATCAAGAATCATAGGTTGAGGGAAAAGTAATGAGCAGGGGCAACGCCAAAGGGCCAAACATTGCATGGAAGTTGTGATGGTCGTGTTTTGGGGTCAGAAGGCGGAATGCAGCCAACAAGAAACTTGTTATATGGCCAAGACAATAGAAATGCCTAGTAGAGATTGAGGTCTTCCTAACATACTCTACTTACTCATAAAAAAATGATGCTAGCACAAGATGAAACAATTCATATTAGTAACATTTCGAGTGCAACAACCACAAACTCAAAACGCGACAGTCTATTTTTATTGATTCACTGCAATAAACCCAAATTCATAAATGAAAATAAAAACACTTGACGGAGTCTAATTTAAAGAAATCTACATAAAAAATTTTAAAAAAAAAACACTTAAGAGAAAGAGTATTCACCAGTAGAATGAGGAACTGAAGAGGGGCAGTGAGGATAAACCATGGACAACCTTTGAAACAATGAAGTATGCACATCATCATAGTTCATGCTCATAGACATGGGCGCTTTATCTTTCCACGTCACATCACATTTGTTACTCTCTTTATCATTGACAATGGACAAATTCGGAAGAGTTTGTTCAAAAATCTCTAACACGGGTTTCTGGAGTTGTTCCTCGGTGAAACTTGAGCGAAGCAATCGCAAATCTTCCAGCAAGTGTTTGGTTTTAACCTCCTTAACAGTCCTAATCTCACCGATTTGTCGCTCCAATGCTGCACAGATAATTCAAATTGGTACACATTTTGCGATGTATTGAACTTGAGAAAGAGAAATAAGAAAAGAATCTGAAACGTTACATTGGATTTCGTGGTCCATGAAGTGAGTTTGTGTGGGTTCAGGTACCGTCGGTTCAGGTGCCGATTGCGTTGCTTTAGCTTTTTTCTTAGGTCTACCCCTTGGCATTTTTGGCGTGGGAAAGAGGAAATTGAACAAATGATGATGGAAATGTAAGCAACTACTACAGCGTAGCTATTGGAATGGTGTTAAAAAATGCGCGAAATGGTGAGAGAAACGTAGGATCTGAAAAGGAATAGAAAGAGAAACGAAAGCGTGAGAGAAGAAGAAAGAGAGGTGTTAAAAATGGTGACAAGAGAGATGCGAAATACACATACCAGACAAATGCGACTTGAAGGAAGAGGCAGTTTCAAATTCGAAAATTAAACCCTAACCGTTTAAGCAGTTTGGATTGATTTGGGTGAAAAAATTTATTTCAAATTAAAAGTAAGGGTTTGTTTGTTTTTGAAATTACATTTTCTGGAATGTGAGATTAGAAATACGTTCATTTTGTTTTAAATTTTTTTTAAAAAAATTTAGTTATTTTTTACTTTTAGAAATGTTGTTTACATATAATTCTTTTTATATTTATTCTTATGTTTAAAAGTTGAAATTGATAATAAATTCAACTACTTATAACTTTTTATTATTTATATATTATTTTATTTTTATTATTTTAAGATTAAATTACAGGTTTTCTTATTTTATTTTATTCACGATTTTAATCTTTCTATTTTTTTATAAATAATTTTGGTTCTCCATCTCAATTTTGATATAAAAAACATTTATGTGTCAATTTTTGTTAATACGTGTTTCATGTTATATGACATGACAAACTTAAATTAATCCAGATCATATTTTGACATTATAAATATATAAATTAAATATAAAGTAACAAAATTAAAACATAAAATTAAAAATCTCATTTGTAAATTGAACCAAGAAAATAGAAAGTTTTGGTTTAGTGGTGATTGGCGCTAGACTTGGTAGGAATGACTACAATTCGATTTCGAACAACTGCAATCTAGCCGCAATGCGATGAGGAGGGGGTTGAAACCACTTGATGCCAGAACTGACCCCTAAATCAGACTACACCGATGGTAAAAACCGAAGAAAAAAATAGAAAGCCAGAAACAAACTCATTCCAACGAAGAACAAAGAAGAACGCGTGGAACGGTAATGGAAGAACGAAGAAGAATTATTCATCTGCCGCATTAAACGAATATTTTGAAGCCATCTATTTCATTTCCAAGTAATACGGTACCCTAAATTTCGAGTTCTGAGTCTTTTGTTTAGGATCTTTGAAAACCCTAAATTCTATTTAATTTCACTGGGAGAAATGTCATATGGCCAACTTTCGTCTTGCACTAAAGAAGATCCTAAGTTTTGTTTTAGGTATGTTGATTATCGATGATGAACTAATTTTTTGTTGTTTTGAAGCCTTCTTGATATTTGTTGTTCTTAAATATTCTTAGTAGATTATTTATTATGAACAGAGTTTTGGTGGTTATTGATTCTGAAGTATTTACTGTTCTAAACGAGATGCTGTATTTTTTTGTTTGTTCTAGGCCATTTGTTACAAATGCGGTCACCTTGATGCACTAAACGAGTTTACTTATTACTGAAATCTAGTACATATATATTGATCTGCTACTTGATACATCTTGAAATTGATACATATATACTGCTACTGCTGCTGAAAATTGCATCTATATTGAAATTGGTACATATATACTGATTGAAAATTGCATCCATATTGGAATTTGATACATATTGAATATGGTACGTATATAATGTTAGTGCTACTGAAACATGTACGTATTGAAATTGCATCCACACTGAAATCCGGTCCACATATACATATTGAAATTGCATCCATATTGGAATATGATACACATTGAAATTGGTACATATATACTGCTATTGCTACTAAAATATGTACATATTGTAATTGGTACATATTGAAATTGCATCCATATTGGAACTTGGTACATATTTGATCTGACCTGATCAGAAATGGACCGTCACGGCTGGCTCCGGGCAGAAAGCTTTTTGAACGAAGTGGGGGTACCTGCAAGGCACTCCGATGCTGAAGTAAGTAGAAGTACGAGCAGGTAATAGCGAGTGTGGTTAGAATGATGAATACCTGACCCTCTGGAAACAGAGGGTATTTATAGCCCCCAACGCTGGGCCAAGGTTCCTTCATTGGGCCGGGCAGGTTTGGCCCAATGGAGGAACTGCCAGGTTCTACGTGTGTAGTGGGGACCCGCACGTGGTCCCCTTCTTGGATGTTCTGCGTGAAGTGCGGGCGGACGGAGACGCGGTCTTTTCGGGGTCTCGTTGGGGGAACCGTGGACTGAGTCTGCCCTAGTTGGGGTGCTCGAGGTGATGTCGAGCTGGACAGCAGGATGTCGAGCTGGAGGTGTAAAGGTCGAGCACGCAACCTCAGGGAGCACGTCGGGCCCAGTCCAGCTAGGGATGTAGTGTGGGCCTTAGCAATGCTTTTGGGCCTGTCGGGCTCAGTCCAGAACAGGAGCCCCCCAAGTCGTGGTTCCTTTGTTAGGAGCCATGGCTTGAACTCAGGTCGTTTCCGCTTCGGGGTCTCGTGCACGGGATAGAGATGCAGGCCCTCGAGGGCCTCCCCGTGCCGTGCTCGGAGACATCTCCCGCGGTGGATGCCCGGAGGATCCTAGCCGACGCGTGTCTGTCGAGCACACGAGGTGCCTTTCGGGAACTGTGCCGCCACCCTATGATGGTAGGGTCATCATTGCGTTGGGAGCAGCGCATCGAGGAGAGGAACTCCGTGGTTGCCCGAGGTGACGTTTGGTATTCCACGTCATCACTATAAATAGGAACCTTGGGCCCCATAACACGTTTCTACTCTTTGTGCTCCCACTGCTGCTGTTCTTCCAGACTTTTCTCAGCCGCTATCTTCTGTTACAGATTCTTTCACTCCGTAGCCGAATCCTACTTTTTGATTCAAGTAAGTGGTTTATCTTCTACCTTTTCCTGTTGTACTGCATGATTTTCAGCGTTTGTAGATGTTTTAGGGACTGTGCGCGTGGGATTAGCCCGGTAAACTCATACTTAGCTCGACATATTCATGCTTGGGACCGGCAAACGCATGTTTGTGGCCGGCATATTCATGCTTAGGATCGGCAGACGCATGTTTGTGGTCGGCATATTCATAGTTTTAGGTGATAAACTTCAGCGCTGCCCGGGGTCTTCATGATCCAGGGCGCCTGATTCATGATCGCGCCCGATATGTTCATGGTCTTGGCCGTAGGCCTCATGATGTTGCTCGCCATGTTCATACCTTGGGTCGACATGTTGGAGAGTGGCCGCGTGGTCGGTTTAGGGAAGAACACGTCGAGTTTTCAGGATGTCGGGGAGGCGACTACCCGTGTAAACTGTCTTTTGTGGTCGTGCGTGGGACGACGTGGTTTGTCGAGCGTATGGCTTCGTGCCCAATTGACTGGTTTCTCGTGCTCTGCAGGTAACCATGGCGGACGAGTCGTGCTCCTCTGGGCGCCACGAACGTTCAGAACAAAGTGCCGATGAGTCGGTCAGCTTGATTGATACTGTCGATGACCCTTTGCTGGATTGGGTGGGCGCTGAGCCCCGAGGGATCGCGTCGATATACAGCCGAGGCGACCGAAGTCCATATGCTGTCCTCGAAGCGGGCCAGGGCCAGCCCGACTTCCAAAAGAATTTCGTTGTCATGCGCCCGTCCTCCCGTTCACGGATCTGCTCGGTGTATCCAGAGTATAGCTTCGCAATGTACGAGATCGCGTTCAAAGATCTTGGGCTGCAGCTGCCCTTCAGTTATTTCCAGGTCGGGGTCTTCACTCATCTGGAGCTGGCGCCGTCCCAGCTACATCCGAACTCACTCGCCTTTATCCGGGCGTTTGAGCTGACGTGTCTCTTTCCGAGGATCGGGGCGACCATACCGCTCTTCTTCAGGATTTTTCATCTGCAGCGCCAGTCTCGAGGAGGGAAAAACAGCTGGGTCTCCTTGAAGCAGTCGAGGAGACTCTTCAAAATGTATATGGACTCCGTAAGGGGTTTTAAAGACAAGTGGTACGTTGTGCGGCCAGTTACCACCTCTGCTTTAGGATCCCTGTACGAGGAGGAGGAGCCCCTAAGCGATGATGACGGGAAGGCGGTTTTGGGCGACGATGGGAATCCTGTGATGGCCCGTACGGCTAAGTTCCCTGTGCACTGGATGTTCCGGCACTACGAGCACGGGACTGGTTACTACCATACTGCTGCCGGGGACATGTGCTCGGAGGACGAGGAGGCGTATGCCACACTTTGTCGGTTTGTCGATAGCTTCCACCCTGCCCGGTGGGCTACGAGGGAAGGGGACGATATCTTGGATGCAGAGGGTTATCCGACATTTGAGTCTCGGCCGATTGATACTAAGGCACTCGTGGAGTGCCAGACGTACAGGCAGGCTGCTCGTCTGCTAGGTTGTTTATTGCTTGAATTTCTTTGCTCGTCATTTATTTATGAGCTTGCTCGATACTAACCCATCTTTTATTTTGTGCAGGTTCGATGGTCGGTCGACGGGAAAGGCTTTTGAAGTTGTCTTGCGACCAGAAGCGAGGCAGGAGGGTCGTGAAGGCTCCCCAGGCGACGAGGATGGGCCCGCCACACAGTCCGAGTGCTCCTCAGCCGGTGAGGGTGGATTCGCCGCCCAGCTCGGGGGCCGCGTCGGATGGGACCCCGGAGGTTGAAGAGGTCGATCCTAGTGCCGTCCTGACACAAAGGAAGAGGACCCGGGTGGAAAGTGGTCCGACTGTCAGCGAGGACGCCAGTGCTGTCAGGTCTTTCGCGTTCCCCCCTTGTTTCAAAGAGGAGGGCTTCTTCGAGAGATTCCCTCTGACAGTGGTTGCCGACGAGGCTGAGGCTATCAAAGGGATGAGCAAAGAGGATCGGAAGATGCATCTGGCCGCCAGCATGGACGGGCTGGTGAAAATGGCCGAGATGGCCCTGGTGTTGTCTGAGGAAGGGGGGGATCCTGTCCGTATCGAAGAACTCGAGCAGGAGAAAGCGGCTCTCACCTCGAGCGCGGAAGTTGAAGACTGCTCTGGAACGCTCCGAGGAGATGTTCCGCGAGCAGACGG